GGTAGGCATCATGAACGTCATGGGCGGTCGAACGTCGAGAGACGAAGATCTACTATCGCTCTCCGCCAAAGGGACCCGAAATCTAAGCCAGTCTTACGATTTGATCGATACGCTCAGGGCATATGAATCGCTGAACTCTGAGTGTGGTATCTACCCCCAAATCGACGACGGTAACCTCGACGACTCTCTATGTGTATCCGAAGAGGCCGTGAGCTCTGGCGAAAGTCTACCTACCATCAATAAGGACGACCTACCACCTCAGCAAGCCATCAACCGAGAATGGGTTGCAGATAGCTCGGCCCCTCTAGGACGAGCTAGACCTCAAGTGCCGTGGAGAAGTCCGACATCTAGGCCGCGATATAACTATAATATGGCTAGGAAACGAGGATTGGCATCTATCAAGACCATCACGGGTGAGCGGATGGAAATGTTCCATCGGGCACTCGATGGTTACATATCCAAGGGCTTCTGTGCTATCGTCAAGGATAATCGCCTCGACCCATCTAAGCCAGAAGCATCTACGTGCCAATCTATCTGGGAGAAGCTGAGTAAGGGCACCCCTTATCAAGGGTCACTCGCCCCTCTGCCAGAGCACTTCACAGCTAGTCATCTAGTCTACCGAGACCAACATCCAACTACGCCTTGCCGTATAGTCTTAGACTATAGAGAGGCAAATCTATACTCTCTAAGAGGCGGTTATCCGCAGAATAGTCTACATGGTACTCTACTCTTATTGAGGTCATCTAAGTACTTCGTTGCCGGTGATTTGAGTAAAGCATTCTGTAGAATGCAATCTAGCCGTGCAGACGTGCCCTATGTGGGGTATACCTGTATTGGACCTTTCACGGTCCTATGGTCACGTGTTGGATTTGGAACTAGGGCGGCACCTAATATGTTGGATAGTGTTGTGGATGATACCATCGACGAGATCTACGACTTGAGTCAACTAGCGGCCGAAATCGATGGAGATACTTTCGAAGTCGCTGTGAAAAGTATCGACCCAGAAAGGATCAAGAGTGCATTACTCTATCCTTCGGAAGAAGGCTATGACTATCTATATGACGGTCCACCTATACCGAGCCACGTGAAGATGCTAAAGTTCGTTGACGACATCTACGCTTTAGGATCTACAGTTGCTGAAGCTCAACGCAACTACCGATTTGTATCATACCTACTCAAAGGGCATGATCTACCCGCTGAAGACCTGAAGAAGTTCGAGAACTGGATCTGCAAATCTGTAGCGGGTATCGAGACACGTGGACATCTATTAGGGTACGATTATCTACCGTCTAACGATGGCCTCTATCCCACGATGTCTGCTAAGCCACCTGAGGGCCTCACACATATGAGCAAGCGCTCATCTAGTAGCATCCTGGCTTCTCTCTATGATCCATTGGGCCTGATCATAGAGCAGGATATTCTAGCTAGATCTATTTGGCGGCGAATCTGCCAGGAAATCAAGGAGTGGGATCAAATTATCCCCTATCAGTTGCAGCAGCAGGTTATTAGATGGGCCTCCGAAACTACCCAAGTATGTAAAACCATATCTACGTCAAGGTATACTCCCTATGATGCAGAGCTGGTCCTCAGCACAGATGCATCTAAGGATGCTTGGGGCGCCGATCTACGATTAAAATCGAGACCTGACGTGCGTCTGGCAGCTAAAGGAGCTTTATATACAAACTCCACTCTATCCTGGTCCATCCCTAGGAAGGAACTAGATGCCCTTTATCGAGGTTTGCTCTGGACCCAGGCATTATCGGCATATCTACCGATCAAGAGCATCTATGGGGAGAACCAAGCCCCATTGAGTAAGCTCAGCCCCGGGGTACCTATCTATCGACTGGTTGTGGCGATCGACTCGGAGCTCACAGTATATCGGCTAAAGAGACCATCGAACGATACTCGACTTCCAGCACCTGAAAGAAGGCGGCTTCAAGCTATACGTAATCTATGCGTTCAGCTCGATGCCACGGTGCGACATATTCCTTCTGGATGCAATCCAGCGGACTCTGTATCTCGGTATGCAATGGGGAGAGACTTCGATGGCCACAAACTAAGTGAAGCTATCGATTCTGCTAGCGTGATCTACGACTACCGAGAGGATACTAATGACGAAGAATGGCAGTTCAATGAGGACATCTACTGTCATGTCGCATCATGTATCCACGATCCTGAGCGGGATCTGCTATTCTCACCTATCCCCTCCGTGACCGCGGGGTGCTGCGCTACGCTTGCACCGCCTACAACCGCTAACGCGGGGTGCTACGCTACGCTTGCACCGCCTACAACCGCTAACGCGGGGTGCTACGCTACGCTCGCACCAAACATTACCTATGCCTATGGGTCTAGACCATTTTGTCCTACTACATTGTGGTTATCTCTATCCACAGTCGTGGACGTGGGGTGCGGTCAGACAGTACAGTCTGAGCAAGAGATCCGTGGCCCCTACCAAAAAATGAAATCTAAGGCTAAATTAGGCGTGTATCCTTCTCGCTCTCCAACGGCAACGAATATCGGGTGTGGTGGAAGGTGCTGTCTCATCAACTGTGATGGTATCGATGTCCCCAACATCGATAAGACTGACCTATCTGCAGAGCTGAAGGATGAATTAAAGAACCTAGCGAGACATATTGACGTCTCGAGAGGGACAGAGGCCGATCTGAGTCATCTACAGGATAGCATCGAGTTCAACAGCGACCTCAACACCTGTCTAAGACGATGTCAATCCGAAGACGAAGATCTGGCAAAGTTCCGAGATTATCTACTCGGCAAGCTTCCTAGAAGATCCGTGGGTATGAGGAGTACTACCTTTGATCGAATGGAGAGTCACTGTCATCTAGACCAAGACGGTATCATAAGGCAGAGGCCTTGGTATGAAGGTCCTTCTCGAGAGGATGACGTTGATGGGATGATCTATCTCGGTGGATCAAGATATGCTCGTCTGGTATGCAGTCTACTTTGCGTTATCTACCATTATGTCTTGGCACACACTGGACAGAGGAAGTTGCGGCTATATCTTCAGAGACGATTTATCGGTAAGGACGAGGAATCTACTTGAACGGTTATGCAAGCTATAATATTCACCCTACGTATGCATCATTGTGCCATGGGAAGGCGTCAATTCTATTGCTCGCGAAGGCAATCGATTCTGTCCGATCGTTCATTCTATGGCGAAATAAGAAGCTATTAGTGGTCGATGATGACGACAATGAGCTATTATCTATTTTTCGCTCAGCTATCGCGATAAAGATAGTAATCGTGACGAGGATATCATCTATTTCTTCTCTCATCTATCGCTGTATCGATAGTTGTCACTTATTCTTGTACTTGGTCATTGATGATGTATGGGTGCTCAAACGTCGCACGCGGGGTATGTGCCGGCTTCGCGGTGGCGCAAGATGTGAATCTCGCTCGCCCGAAATTCACTAGTTGAAACGGTTGAAACCAGGGTTGTGCAGGCCCTGTGAAATTTCGCGTTCCGCAAATTTCAATTTCAGAAATTTCATGAAATTTCAGCGGTGCGCTGAAATTTCGCGAAATTTTGAAATTTGAAGATTTTTGGCTAAAATTTGTACTCTTTGGGGCTTTTCACGCTCCCCAACATCGAAGAATATCATATCCACAACATAGCTTTAATAAAGCAGTCATAATCTAGATAATTATCACGGATGTCCTGCGAATCTAACTTGCGCCGCTCGTGAACAGATCTCGCTCGCCCTGGAAATCCTGGCGGGGCGCACCGAAGCTGTGACTTCAATGATTGATAGGTGCATGTATCCGACAAGTAGAGACTCCGATGAATCGATTCATTTCTCCATCGTCGATTAGTTAGTTGTGCTCGCACAGTAGTCGATTGTTTGAGAAAGCCACGAGACCCATGTTTAGGTGTCCGATCTACCGATTTGTTGTTGTCTTCAGGCGTTGAGGAATCTGATGTGCTTCCGCTCGATGCATTGATGAATCGTTGCTTTGCTTTCCACTTCATCACATTCAACGAAGCTGTTGACAGTGATGCTGAGTCTCGCGTTTCAGTAAGACCAGATATTGCACCTGCTTTGCGTACCTGCGAGGCGGTCGTCTCCTGCCCACTTTTCGAACAGGGCCGCAATCACAGTATCGAGGGAG